GAAAACTTGGCTAAACATATGGCTTTTTTGGGCATCCCACTTAAATCTTGATGAGTGTGGTCATCTCCTATCCAATACGAATAATTACTTTCTGGTTTTTATTGCTTATAACTTTTATTATCTCTATAGAAGAATATAATCCAAAGGTATCATGGATAAGGAGAATCTTGAATTATATCCTCATTTTTTGCATCCCAATATGGAAAAATTTTGTTTATGCTCTCATCAGTAGGACCGAATCTTCCCTTATGATGAAACCACGACCGCGAAAAATTATCTGGGATATGAGATTCTAATTGGATATGCAATAACTAAAAACACTCTGTAAGTAAAATGCAACAAAATTTAGATGCACAAAATAAAAATGCTAGGTTATTATTATATTTAGTATCACACTTTCTAGGAAAATTATGGATCTATTTATATTGGACAAGAATAATATATATACGAAACAACTTGACTCATTTCTCAAATTTAAGATATCTAATGTTTCAACTCTATCTAAGATTTAGGTTAACATGTCATGATCTTTTAATATAATATTCGTATATGATATGTTAACCTCTATCTACATCAGTTGGTGAACATGTTACTCTTTTAATATGCATATTTAGTAAATTTTCAGCTATCACAATAATTATATTAATTCAAAAATATTAATAGGTCCACACTAGGGTTACAAACGAGTCGGGTCGAGTCGAGTATTGGCATTATCGAGCAGGATTGAGTTTTTTTTTTTTTGCTGCTCGAGCTCGAGCTCGAGCTCGACTCGATAAAAAATTATAATAGCTCGAGCTCGGCTCGAAAATTTTTAAGTGGAAGGGAAAAAAAAAAAAAAAAAATAATGCAACCGTTAGATTTGGATAAACTGGTAATCTTTAGCTCATGTGTTCTTAATGGCCACCGCAGCTTTTGCGCCACCGCACCACGGCCGCCGCCGTTGCTCGCCGTCAAATTTTACTTCACCACGAATATCAGAAACATGCTTTTTCAGCTGCAATCCAGCAGCGCCCTCATTCTTTCGGGCCACAATCGGCCCTATGAAAACCGCTCACGGCCCGCTGACCAACTGTGCCCCGTCTCCTTCATCCGCTTCGCCGGAAGTCAGTGCTCCCACGGCGGAGTCATGTATCAACTTGGGTCTTTCCCTTTTCGCCAAAGGACGGGTAATTCAACCTTTTTAATTATCAGATTGCGGCACTATGGAGGAAGATTAGGAATGGTGAATTTTGCGTTCTGAATATCTAGAACTTTTGCAATTATGCTTGTGCCTAGTTTAGTTCAGATGATGTTGATGCTCAATTTATGTCATTTTGTTACAGTGTATGTATCCTTGTGCATTTATTGTATAATTGTGTAACAGGCAATTGTGAAATTAGCTGCTCTGCATTCAGCTTATGACCATTTTTTTATTGTTTGTTTAGTTTATCGAGTAAGTTAAAGTTTCAGTGAATTCCGGGCTTGTCTGGAGCTCAATGAACTTTGATTGGGTTTAGTTGAATTTGGTTTTGAGCTAAGCTTGTTCCGTAATTAAACTAAGCTCGACTCGTGAATGTGTCGTTTGTCCTGGCTCGACTGACCTGCAGACCCGCCCGTCTGCATCGATTTTTATTCTATGGCCATTTTTTTGTTGCTCGAGGCTTGCTGGTTGAATTTTAGTAGGGCTACTGCCTTTATGCATAAGTTCTTGATTCAAAGTTTCTATTGTGGATAGAGTTCATCCAAAATCCAGTGTTGATTTGCTCGGAGTTTAATAATTCAGGTCAGAGATGCGCTTGCACAGTTTGATACTGCTCTTACTTTGGATCCCAACTTTTTGGAGGCTCAAGCTGCCCTTTATAACAAAGCCTGTTGTCATGCGTATAGGTACGTTTTGACATAATAAACGCATGCTCGGATTTAGGAGGAAGTTGTTATGACTCAATTCCGTAGAAGCCTATGATATTCAATGTCAATGTACGAGGACATTATTTACTCTTCTCTTTCTTTTTATCCTTTTTTTTCAGAAATTTATATATGAGCATGTACATGATGTTTAATAATCATGGATGAACCAGAGTCTTTTATTTTTTTTTATAATCTTTATGCATATGAGAAAGGGAGGAAGGAAAGAAAGCTGCTGACTGTTTACGAACAGCTTTGAGAGAATATGGTCTCAAGTTCAGCACCATTCTGAATGATCCCGATTTGGCCTCATTTAGAGCAACACCCGAGTTCAAAGAGTTGCAAGAAGAGGTTAGCCACTCATAGTTGACTACCTTTCTGAAACTTCTCCTGCTTGGTTTGATTTGTCGGTGGTTTTTCCATTCTGCGGAAGGTTGAGTTGAGACCATTAACAGAAATATGACAGAAAAACAAAAGTTAAAACAAAATAATAACAGTAACATCAGTAAATATAAATTTGTGCTATTTCCTTGTGTCATCAACAGGCTGTATTGGGTGGAGAAGACATAGGATCAAGCTTCCGGAGAGATCTTAAACTGATTAGCGAGGTCCAAGCGCCTTTTCGTGGAATTCGGAGATTTTTCTATGTCGCATTCACAGCTGCTGCTGGAATTTCATTGTTATTCACTATTCCTAGGCTGCTCCGTGCAGTCCACGGTGGCGAAGGAGCTCCCGACCTATTGGAGACTGCGGGAAATGCAGGAATCAATATTGGAGGTGAAATAAACAATGACAAGCTTCATATAAAAAGGCTTTTTTGTTATTTTTTTATGTATTTATTTAAATGTGTACGTCTCGATTACTAATTGTGTAGCATAAAAAAGGAAAGAAAAAGAAAAGAAACTGTTTCAGAAATCAATTAAATTTCGCAGGTATTGTTGTTCTCGTGGCTTTGTTCTTTTGGGACAACAAGAAAGAAGAGGAACAGCTAACTCAAATTACAAGGAATGAAACTTTATCTCGGCTACCTTTACGCCTTTCGACTAACAGGATTGTGGAGCTTGTGCAGTTAAGGGACACAGCAAGGCCTGTTAGTGACACTTCTTCTCATATCCCTCACAATTCGAGTTCTCTTAAT